TAAGAGGGAGAAGCAGACTATAAAAGTATAATAGAATATTATTTAAAAATAAATGTATGTAAAATGAAAAGGACTAGAAGTATACATCAAAATATTAAGAGTTGTTATTTTTTGAGAGTGGGACTATAGATAGTTATATTTCAGTGTTTTTTCTTTTTTGTTTGTTTTGTGGCAAAGGTTCACTACATTGTGCATATTCATGCTTGAAAAAAAGTTATATAAAGAGTTAAAATCTGTGACCAAGAAAAGACCCTCATGCAGTAGTGAAATTTATCTGATATCTACAAATCCCATATTTCAATGTTTAACTATGCTTTCACATGATTAAATTAAATTGTACATAAATGTATTCTTTTCTTATTTTCCTACAGAATATTTCAGTACAGAAAGCAATTTTATAATCTAAGTTGGATCACTTCTCATTTTTATTACTAATTTAAATCATATTTCTCAAAGTTAAAGAAGCATATTGTTTCAGGAAAATTAGATGCTTTCCCTCGGTATTATGGCATGCTAAAATATATGCTAATATTGCAGTGAGAATCATTATTGAGTTTCTCTATATAGCACTGAAAGGAAAAACAATTAAAACTGCTTTAGGCTATCAATAATTCATGAGGGAAATGTCTATTCCTACTAGACTACATCTTAAAAAAATCCAAGTGAGACAAGAGGGAGCCTACTGAATTCTTCCCAAGAGAGCTCTCCCCTCTACTTTATGAGGGAGTTCATTTCAAGCTGCCCTTGGGCTTCTAAAATAGCTATACATCGTCCTAGTCTTCATCTGCCTTCTCCAGCAACTTACAGGAAGGCTTTTGCAAGAAATGAAGCTTTCACAAGAAGACCCTTGTCAAGTAAATAAATAAACTCCTAGGGAATACCTTCTGCATCTTTCTGATTAACCAGCAGAGTACCTAGCATGATGCCCTCTATGCAGAAAGATCCAGCAGACCACCATTTAGACATTCCATCCCCATCCGTGTTTTAGATATTTCATCCCTCCAGCCCTGCTTCTTAAATCTCCCACCCGCTTGAAACCTGGGGTTTCCTAAATGATTTCCAGGCCTGCTGCCATACTCCATTTTTAATAGGAATCTCTAAAGTGAGCTATAATTTGAAAATACGTAATCAAGGACACTGTGGGATTCTCAGCTTTAGGCAATATGTTCTGTCGGATAGAAGAAAGCTCTGGCAAACAGCAGACCCAGATTCTTGCACCAGCTGTGCTCCTAACTTACTCTATAATTTCAATCAAGTCATTCTAATGGCTATTGTCTGTCTGTTTCACTGGTGGAATCTACAGAAGTCCTAGCCTTCCTGACTCCTTAACAATGATCATGTGAGGATCAATGAGATGAAGTCTGGAGAGATATGTTGTCCCCTTGGGGAAAGACACTTTGAAAATAAAGGTATTAGAGAAAATCTCTGGTATGGCTTTCAAGAGCTCAGATTCCCAACTCTTATGTTGTATGCACGTTTTCTGGCAATTAGGGCATTATTGCTTTTTCTCCTGTAATGAAAGCAATACAAAAAAAGAAAACCCATCAAAACACTACTCCTGTGGAAACTGAATAAAGAAAGCAAACTTTCATTTCATTCCTTTCATGGATGATGTATTTTCTGAGTATAAGCATATTGCGTATAGCACAAGTTGGCAGACTTGTCCCCAAATACACTTCCATCTGGTGACCGGACCTCAGTTTTACATGCTCAATTGCACATTGTTTAATTGCCTGTCTCTGCCAGTAGCGTAAATATATTATATATTAATAAGTTCCTGTATATGTTTGTACATACATATAAACATGTATTGACTCCCTTGTATTGAGTTTTTGTGTGCAAATTTGAAAAAACCATGGACTTGTCTATGCATTTTAACAGAAATAAACCCCCTCAAGGTTTCTGTTTAAAATCATGCCCACAGGCATAGACTGAGGGGTATGCCTGCTATGATTTCACCTTCACATACTTCAAAAGAATGTGTGCATGTTTGTGTTTGGGGAATGGTGGATATAGGGAAAGAGGGGTTAGGAAGAAAATCCTTTGTGAATGCGAAATATTCCCTGTGTATTCTTCAGAATCAAAATATCTGAATTCAGTGCTTTCATATGGTTCTTCAGTTTAAAATGCTAGATTCAACTATATTTTATCATGGCCTAATTTGATATTATCCAGTCTTCAAATACCCTGAGAAATGCTTTACTCATGCATCAATCTCTCAAAAAATGGATAAATTGCTCTTAACTCCACATTAAGGCTAAAGAAAAGCTTTTGAAGAAGTTGCAAAGTATTGAAAAATGGGACTTAGCATAAAAATGCCTTCCAAATAAACCACCAAAATGCCTATTGTGCTGATCTATGATGAGGGAACCTACTGGCTGTGTGGTACTCACATGAGAGATTCTAGCAGCTCCTTCTGAGTTGGGGAGATAATTGCTTTAGTAGAATTCATAAACTCACAAGCTCAATTCACCTAGCAAAAAAAATCCTAAATAAATATCATTGGAAAATAAAATCTTTATTTGCAGCATGGAGAACCACTAGTCTGAAGACTGTCAGTTTTGAAATCTGAAGTAATGCATTACCCTGCAGGGCCCCACCCATGCCAGCTTAAACAGATGTAGCGTATTTGTTTCTGAAGTGTGCTCTGCCGGGGGAGAAGACATCTCTTTTTTTCCCTTTCTCATTTAAAGACTGAAGGTTAAGAAAAATAAAACTTGCTTTTGGAATGATATTTATGTTACATTTCAATATTGAATAAATGTTCATGAGTATTTTATAGGTGCCTGAAAATAAGGTAAGATATTAACAGAGAAACAGTTTTGTGAGCCATAAGGTGATATTAGCACTTTCTGCTATAGCGAAGTGGCATTAGTTTTATATGAGCAGTTATAATGAAAATTTAATGTAGTTAAAAAGAATTAACTCTGCACAGTGAGCATTCAACTTACCACAAATGTCTTAGCCAGAAAACAAACCCTACACATCAAAGTAACTGTGAAATTCACATTTGTTCATAAACTATGAAATGAAATTCATTGCTTAATGTTTCAAAGCTTTTAGAGTTAATACATTTAAAAACTGAATAATAGTGATATTCTTTATGTAAATTTGTGTCTCCTAAGAAAGGAAGAAGAAAGAAGAGAAAGAAAAAAGAAAGAAGAAAGAGAGAAGAGAAAATAATCCTACAAGTTAAATAAATAAATAAATAAATAAACTCTACCCTTCAAACCAAGTCAGGACTAACTTATATACATTTAGATATAATTTAAATTCTTTAAAAATTTACGCAAATTTTATTAATAGGACATATTAGGTCTAAAAGATGATATAACTTTGGATCTAATTTCCCCTTCTTACTAGAAAAACTTCCAGTAATTTGTTTTACAGGTAAAAGCTTCTTAACTTTTGTCATCTACTATATCTTGCCACAATGATGGAAATAAATCAGTACTTGAAGGAAGACATTTTGACTGAAATAATGTAAGAGAGTCCAGTGTAACATAATTTATCTCAAAGAAAATGAAAACCAGGGATATTCTATTCTAGAAGCCTAAGAGGAAAATGTGTCACACTCTCTCAGGATTTATGCTAGACCAGAGAGGTTGGAAGTCAACAGCCACTGAAATGCCATGCAGTCTCTTACTAGATCACGTGTTACAGTAGAATGAGCGGTGATCTTGGTATCCAAAACGATGTTTTACTTGTTAGTTTCAAACATGAGCATCCACCTCTTTACCTATTTTAAAAGAAAAACTTGATGTCTGGGTTTCACATTTTTCTTTCAAAAGGTACTTTCTTAGCATAATGTATACTTCTGATGAAGTTGACACTTGCTGTGGAAAAGGAAGATAATGTTTTAGGATAAAAATATAAGAATCACTTTTCAGGAAGAAAAGAGGGACGTGACTGATGGTCAGTTCCTAAGGGCTTCCACACCCTACTTTGGTTTCAATGTCTAGATTTTTCTAATACACAAGTACATCCAAAGATCATCTCCTTAAATTGCCTTCCAATCAGTTGAAGGGCCTTGTGACCCTCAGAAAATAGAGGAGATGGTGAACTTTGTAACCATAAGTTAGGAAAGATCAAGCAAACAATTTAAAAAAGTTTATAGCATCAGCCCAGTAAGACAGGAAATGTTGCACAGTGATATCCTATAATGATGAGGCTGATTTATGGAAGCTGTTGTGTAAGTTCAAGCGCTTTCAGTATGCAGCACATTAAGCAATGCACTAGAGTGGCTGGTGCCTCTTCTGAGTACTTAGCAATTTCTTTTACCGGTTGACAAAGGTTCTGCTGCTTAGATCTTGGGTAACCGGAGCCGCCTTACCCCCAGCCTTGGGCATCCAGGTGACCTCTGCGGGGATAAAGTCCTCCTTTCTTATCTAAAAAGTGAGGTAGATGTTGTGGTGTAGTTTATGTTCCAGAGTTCCCCACAAGATCAGTCTGGAGCAAGACTTCACCTAAACCGTATCGCTACTTAGCTTCTTCCTCTTTCTTTCTCCTTCTTTCCTTACTCCCTTACACATGTTTCCTAGGAACATTCCCATAAAAAAAAAAAAGTCCCTTGCACAAGAATTTCCATGATAAGAAGTGCTTCCAGTGCACCCTAAGACACATCACAGAAAAATTGGCCAAGTTCTCTGTGTACCAAACAAAAGGAAGAGTTTTCTGACTTCACAGTCCTACGCAACCCAACCATATGATGTTTGAACTGGAAGTGACAATAAAAATCTGTATATTGATTAAGGAAACTAAGGCCCCCGAACAACTTGTACATCACTCAGCAATTTAGTAAGAGAGTCAGGACTAGCACTCCTGTACCCCATCTCCCTGTCTGGTGCTCCTTTTGCTTCAGTATCATGAGAACATTTTTAAAAGTCTTCTCTTTTTATGACTTCAGTTGTCATCAAATTATCTATGTAGTCACCTACCTGTGAAAACTATTCTTCGTTAATGAAAGACTCAAACATGTCAGCTCAGTGATAAAAAAAATTTCCAAGTTATAATGAAGCTCTGACTTGGGCCACTTTTGTAATAGTAAAAATATTAAACACAAAATAAAATCTAAGATTTATTTAGAATTTACGATAACCTGGACCCTCTGCTAATTGTTTTGCACATATTACACCATGTATTTCTTTCAGCAGGATGAATACAGTAGATACCATTATAATATCCACTTTAGAAATAGGAAAGTCAAGGCTCAGAGATGAAAATAGACATGCAGCAATTACATACGAAAGCCAGGGTCAAGGCTGTATCTGACTTACTCATATTTGCCTTCGTAACCCCCAGATTACATTGCCTCTCCGTGGACTCCCGGCTGTACATTCTCCAATAAGCAGTCTTGGTGACCCACTGGAACATGTCCTTTCAGCTACTGTCATTAATGTAAATTTTTTTGTTAATGAGACTAACAAAAGGCAAGAAACGATTTTTTAAAAAGGATCTTCATTTATACAAAATCATTGAAAAGAAAAATTTGCCTCTTTATATTTTTTTTAACTTTTTAATTGGATATTGGCAAGTGATAACTGTATATATTCATAAGGTAAAAAATGATGCTGTGATATGTGTATACAATGTGGAATGATTGGCTCAAGCTAATTAATATCCATCACCTCAAACACTATCATTTATTCCTCCCATCTAGTTGAAACATTATATTCTTTGATCATCACCTTGCCTTTCCCCACCCCCAGCCTCTGGTAACCACCATTCCAGTTTCTACTTCTGCGAGTTCCGTATTTTTAGCTTCCACATATAGGTGAGGACATACAAATTTATCTTTCTGAATTTGAATTTTTCTTAAGTTAAAGTAATACATATTATTTTGGCACTGATGCCAAAGTATTATTCTACTTACTGGTTTATCATCCTATTTATTGGGGAAGTACACAATCCCTTGAATATTTCAGAACTATAAGAGTTATATTACATTGTGATGAGCTAACATGTTTGCCTTTGTCTTGCGGTGTCCCTGGGTTTTGGCCAATTTTAATTTGGAGCTATGTGTGATTTGGTAATCCTTTCTAATTGACAATGCAAACACAAATTCATGACTATAAAATATGACATTATCCATTTGATGGGTAAGAGGGACTATGTTTGTGTTGAAAAGGAAGTCATTTATCATGGTTCCATCAAGAGGGACTCACCTCAGGGTGGACACTACCTTTGCCAGAGAAATATTTTGATCATTTAATTGAATTTTCTCCTAACTGGAATATCAACTCATGTTTTGTGATCTTTTTATATGTTTGGCAACATACAACATACAAATATGTTCTTATTTTAAATTAATAACTAAATTAATAAATGCCACAAATTGGTATTTATAAATTATGCAAAAATAAACCATGGTTTCTTTACTCACTCTAATGGTAAACACAAGATTAAAGGCTTATATGTCAATGACCTGCTTTCTTTTCTTTCTTTTTCTTTTTTTTTTTTTTTTTGAGATGGAGACTTACTCTGCTGCCCAGGCTGGAGTGCAATGGCATGATCTCGGCTCACTGCAACCTCCTCCTCCTGGGTTCAAGTGATTCTCGTGCCTCAGCCTCCCAAGTAGCTGGAAAAACAGGTGCCCCGTTTTTTTGTGTGTTTTTAGTAGAGACGAGGTTTCACCATTTTTACCAGGCTGGTTTCGAACTCCTGACCTCAAGTGTTCACCCACCTTGGCCTCCCAAAGTGCTGGGATTACAGGTGTGAGCCACTGTGCCCGGCCTAATTTTTTTTTGTCCCAGTTTTGACTCAGCAGATTATGATCCACTGCAAACTACTACAATTTGCATTTTCTTTTCCCTAAATGAGTCTTAACATTTTATACCTTATAACGGTCCAATTATCCTGACATTTTATTTTTTTGTCTAGAGGAAAAGAACCAAAATCATTGTTTTTTCTATTTTATTTTTAAACTAGCCATAGTGATTGCCATCCTGTTGTAACAGTTGGCTGATGTTTTGGTCTACTTTTGCATTATCCTGCAGGTATCCTTGTGGTTGATCTCCATGCACACTCAAACACCCCAACTCTCCAACACAATTACACCCACTTCCATGTTGTTGGCCTTATACTGGGGAAAGGGGAAGGCACAGAAGTTCAATAGGGGATACCTGGGATGACAACCTAGCAGGAATAAATAATCAAATAGTTTTGCTGGTCTCATGAGGAGTAGAAAAGTAGACAAAATATCAAAGTAACATAATCAGTCCCAAAGGTTATGAAAAATTAGTCATGGCCGGTAGTGCAAAAGGAACAATCTGAGAGAGTGAATTCTGAAAGAATATACGTCTTACCCACATGATATCTATACTGACCAGCATTTGCGAATGAATTTTCTCTAGCGCAACTGTTGTGCGAAGGCTTAAGATCATTTCTACAGGAATCATATTCCAAGTAAATTCAGCCATGCTAAATGCAGTTTCAGCCTGCAACGCCAGATAAACATTTGCTGTTAGAAAGAATGTCAACACCCCATCAACCACCATATACTATTCAGCATTGACTCAGCCAAGTCTCCAATTTATCTGTATCATTTGTTATAACCTTAGTTTTAATTCTGCCATGTCTTCCATTCCAATGTGTCTAATGTTAGACCATTTAAGAAATATTTACCCAGGAAAGTTTAATCACAGTGTACTAGAAAAGATGCTCTTACCTGATAAGGGGAAGAATTGGATTTTTTCCTCCATTTTGACACAGCTAGCCATCACTTTGGGGCAAATCACAACCTTATCAAGCTTCAGCTTTCTCATCTGTAAAATATGTGCACTGAAACTGTAACTCTACCATTGTGTTATGATAGGGATCTGAGCGATTTCACTTCTATAGCGATTACATCGTGAGAGCACTGGCCCTATAAAGCCAAGAAGGAATGAAAAGAGGCTAAGACAAAAAATAGTGAGTTAAAATGTAAAGGATACCTTGTACCCCCCAAAAGAAGTTACAGTTTCCTTGGTACCCTGGGCATATTCTTACAGGTTTTCTCAGTAGCTTATGAGCATTTTTTTTTTTTTTTTTTGAGGCGGAGTCTCTGTCTCCCAGGCTGGAGTGCAGCTGCGCAATCTCAGCTCACTGCAAGCTCCGCCTCCCGGGTTCCCGCCATTCTCCCGCCTCAGCTTCCCGAGTATCTGGGACTACAGGCGCCGCCGTCACGCCCGGCTGATTTTTGTACTTTTAGTAGAGACGGGGTTTCGCCGTGTTAGCCAGGATGGTCTCGATCCCAGGACTTCGTGATCCACCCGCCTCGGCCTCCCAAAGTGCTGGGATTACAGGTGTGAGCCACCGCGCCTGGCCTTGAGCATATTCTTGACTTTTTGACATGTTAACTTCGTAGTCTTCTTTAAACATTATCCCCTGAACCTTGAAGGTTACAGACATTATAGTACTAATGACAATGTCCTTGCAAGATCAAAAACCGTAATTCTTGAGGTGCTGTTGTTTGAAGTCTTCATAACTAATTTCAAATTAAATGAGCATCAAGAGAAAACAGTTACTCCTGAAATATTGTGCTCTCAGTTGACTTTGGGTTTTTTTTTTTTTTTTCTTTTTTTAAATTCTTTATCTCGGGAAGCATATTGTCTATGTTTGTGTCAGGGTTGCCCTCATTATACCCAACCACTTTTCAACTACACTTGGCTGAGGCTTACTCTAGAATAACACAGTTCTAAAGTTATCTGTTTGCATATGGTTGATTCAGGAGGGATTCAAAGGATAAATTTATTGTGTTTCTGTGAAAGACAACCCTTTTTCCCCCCAAGCCTAAATATATATATATTTTTCTAAATGCACCCTCAAAATCAGTGTCTTTCTCAATTTAATATTATATTGGAAGAGGATGCGTTGTTTAGACACATAGTTATGTACTACTGACTGTTGCTATAAAAATGAAGTTTAATCTGCACAATTTCCATTGCTTTTCCTTTGAAATCTGGTGTTTATTGCAACAGAACTTCAGATTTTGCAACATGATAGTCTGAAAGACAGGCCAACACAGGCAGCTTTTTGGAAACAAGAGACCTGGTGCTTCCAATGGCCAAAAAGCTGGCCAAACACCAGCAACAAGGGAAAGACATGTCAGGTAGGTTCTGCTGATTTCCCAGGCCTCTTTTAATTCTTTTACAGAGGACTTCTTTTGACAAATTATTAACACTATTTTGTTCTTATGGTTCATCTGTGTTTCTGTTAACCATACTCTCCTGGAAGAGACTTTGGCCATCTGGATGTGGTTTTTGTTTCTGTGAGAAAGGAATTTTGTGTCCTTGACATGTCCCTAGTATAAATGAATGTTTAATAAGGAAAGCATGGATCAAGATGCTATATGTTTCCAGGTTAGTTTAGAACAACTACTATGAGTTATTTAGTGCATACAATTAAGCATGAAAGCATGAAAAATACATTTATTAAAAAATATTTATGGGACACTCCAGAATAACTTGATAGTTTGGGACAATCACATGACCTTCTGCACATAACATGGTCATCCTTGGGTTAAAAAGGGCAACTAAATTCAAATTTACACACTATAGGCTAGTGTGATTTTTACTTTCAAGAGATCTTGATAAGCTTGTTTCATTATTAAAACTAGGAATTTAAGATATAGATCTGAAATTTGCAGCAAACTATAACAAACGACAAGCTAAAGGATAAATCAACTCAAGGAATAATGTTTGAAGTGCATATACGTTTTCTGGTTTTCACTCTTTACTGCACTGACAATTTCTATGTCATCATTAGTCCCCAAATATTAGTAAGTATCTTATCTGGCCAGTGAGTTTTGTTTTTCTTCTGAATTTTAAAGTTGAACAGCCAGTGAAGTATTTTCTCATAAATTAAATCAAATTATCTGTATTAGTGTTGGTACTAAAAAATATCATTTTCCTTATTTTATACGTAAATAAAGACAAAAATCTTAGTTCAATATTGGGTGTAATTTAGGTGCTTATTTCTATATACCTATTCTTATCTACCTGTTCTTAGGAGGGACTCTCTTAGGTTATAATGAAGTTCTGTCTCTCCAAGGTCTATACATAAAATAATTGTGCTTTCTGGAAACTACACATTTGGTAACAATGGTCGCCAGTCTTCTCTGTCATTAAAATGTGTACTTTCTTACCTGGAGGAGTAAGATATCATTGTTGCCCTTAACTCTTTTTTTTTCTTTTATTATTATACTTTAAGTTCTAGGGTACACGTGCACAACGTGCAGGTTTCTTATGCCCTTAACCCTTTTCTTGAGCTGTAATAAATTTCTTCACTACTTGGTCTTAAAAACATGGAGGCTTTAAATCTAACTTGTGTCTTTGTCATTATCTGTGAATTATAGTCTCTACTTAAAGGATCGCCATCCAAGGCCCCCCCCTTTCTTTTTTTTTTTTTTCTAAAAAAGCACCCTTTTAAAATTTTACCACTGTAACTAGGAAATTGCTGATAAATCAGTCTTGTTCATACAGAATATTGTTTAAATGGTTTTTATCACAAGGTATTCTGGAATGAATAATAATATGTAAAATGTGATGAGTATTTAGTGAAAATCTCTGCAGAGTTGTTATATTATCAGTGTAACGCATAGTCAGAGAGTTTGTTTATATTTCTGTATTTCTCAATCTGAGACATCGTAATTATTTCAATCTTCAAATGTTCAGCCTTTGTTAACATAACATCAGACATTTGAGATCAGTGTGAAAACAAGGCGCTCTACACCTGAAGGTGACTCTGGTCTAATAATGTGTCTGATCACTTAGTTTGGATAAATAGTCGGGTTATATTTCATGCCAGAAAAAGCTTGGAAAATGAGGGTAGAAGCTATAATTAGGTTTTACTTGGATGCATGCATTGGGCAATTATTAAAAAATGAGCTAGGTAAAGAATGCTATTTTCCTAATTTTATATTCTAAATATCAATATGAGACATTTATCATCAGACCTTTTAAAAGCCTCTGCTTTTAAAACAGACATGGTGATAGATGACTTAAACTCAGACAACACCAGACTCTAAAAGCAAGATAAACCACAAGGAATTACTTCCTTTTAGTTTAAGAAAACCTGGACCTCTTAATAAATCAGTAGGTAATATACTGTAATGATTTTGTATTAATATACTCTTTCTACCATTTGAACTGGTTGCATCATCCATACATCAAGCAAATAAATAAGTTTCTCAAAAGACAGGTTGCTCAATAACATCTTATTAATGGAGAATGAGCCAACTCTTCAGTAATTTGGAATATCTGTTAGAGATTGCTCAAAAATAAATGTAACCTTGACCAGATATGTTACACAAAAACCGTATAATTTATGGCAATACAATGAAAGTAGGCCCATTCTGAACTTAGACCTTTTGTTACTCATAACCTGATACTGTGAACATTTGTTCTTTAGTAAACTCTGCTACACATCATCAGAGTGATTATTATATAACAGAAGATTCTCTGACTGATAGTCTCATACTTTCCTTTCCACACTGGAAACACGAGGAAATTCTAGGTGGTAAAAATCGCAACCGCACAAAAAAACGTAAAGTCAACAAACAAGGAAAATACATCTCTGAATATAGGAATGCCAAACCTAGCCGGGCGCGGTGGCTCACGCCTGTAATCCTAGCACTTTGGGAGGCCGAGGCGGGCGGATCACAAGGTCAGGAGATCGAGACCACGGTGAAACCCCGTCTCTACTAAAAATACAAAAAACTAGCCGGGCGAGGTGGCGGCGCCTGTAGTCCCAGCTACTCGGGAGGCTGAGCCAGGAGAATGGCGGGAACCCAGGAGGCGGAGCTTGCAGTGAGCCGAGATCGCGCCACTGCACTCCAGCCTGGGCGACAGAGCGAGACTCCGTCTCAAAAAAAAAAAAAAAAAAAAAAAAAAAAAGCCAAACCTTTAAAAAAAAAAAAAAAAAATTTGATTTCAGAAGGCTATATTGTTATATGTGTATATCAACATCAACATGTCCAGAGTAGCTGTACAAAGTTACATATTTTAGTCTTTATAAGTTCCCCTCCTCACCCTACCCAGTAGACACTTTGTATCCAGAAACTTCTGTGTCAACAGTTTCCCCTCTCTCTGGAATGCATCAGGACAGGAGTGATTGGTGTGGTGAAGGAAGGTCGTGCTAAGAGTGAAGTTACATGAAAGTAGGATGGAGGTTAGCAAGTAGTTAAAGTCCAGAAAGGCAAAGGATTCCTTCAGTAAGGTGTTAAGGAAGAGCTTTTCCATTTTACAGGTCTGAGCAAGCAGGAAATCAACTCTATGAGCTCTGAAACTCGGTAAATATGAAAACATTCTCAATACCATGTGTCAAATAATAAATACAAATTAAAACTATACTATTTTACTGCTTGCACCCAGAAGTTAGTCAAAGATCTAGTCTTAATTATTCATTGTGTCGGTGAAGATGTAACAACAACAACAACAAAACCCCAAGCAGTATGCATATTATTTGTGAAGGTTTAAATTGGCATAATTCTTTAAAATAAGAATTTGTCAATATCTACCAAAATGAAAAAGGTGCATAGCTTTTGACCCAACGATTCCACTTCTAAGACTTTATCTTATGCCTAAGTGTGTTAATAGGCAAGATGATGGGTATATCTAGCTATTCAGTGAGTCACTGTGTTGCAAGGGTCAGAAAACTGAAAATAATGTAAAGCCCCTTCACAGAGAATACATATTCAGCCACATAAAAGAAGAGGAGAAATTTTGATGTACTGCTATATGAAGAACCCTCAGATTTGCTATTAAATAATAATATAGTTCAGTGT